CCCATATTACATTGTTTGATTCAGTTGCTGTATGATGTATTTGTGATTTACCCTCTCTTTTTCTTGAACCGTAAATATTAATGACTTTCTCCAGCTAACTACCTTATAAAGTCAGTGATAACTCGATCTCTCATAACCATTCTGGATGAATGTGCATTTGTAGTGTAATTGGTGAGATGCTTAGACTAACCAAAACAAAAGGAAAACAATAAACAGTACATCCAGCACACAATATCTAGATTTATTTTTGCCAGAACAAATTTTTATTAGTTTTCATGATTGATCTAATATTCTGAATCTGTAAGTGTACACTATGTTCACTAATAATTTCTTGTATTTGGGATTTAGAAATTCAGCTGTATATCAAGTTTTGTATATTCTTTCCTTCCTGCAGTTATTTATTTAAAGCATGACCATTATGTGATATACTTACCTATCTGTGAAAGATTTGGGCTGTAAAGAGATTGGTTGAAAAAAAACACTTTTCCTGACTTTTTCCAGGTATTTTTCACCTTTTACACCATTATAATGACAAGTTGGCTGTTGGTGTAGGAATTCTAAATAGCTGTATATTCATCAACTCTTATTACACCTATAAGAAATTTAGATCTTATATACCTCTATAATCATCTCCTTGATTTAACTGCTATTGGGTTGTGGGTAAATAAAATACATGCTTAATAATCTCAAATCAGTTCTCAAAAATTTACTTATACATTTCCATGCATCTAACATAAAATAGGCCAATACACAAACACTGTTTACTATAACTATTTTTATACATCTTTTAAAATGAGATGATGAAACCTTTGGTCATCGAAAGGGCTTTCTGGTTGTCAGAAACTGATTCTATTTGTCCTTTGGTGAAGCAGACTCTGAACTTCTCAATATCCTCCATGTGGAATTTAGCATAGAGCATGAGGTAAAGATCTGTTTTCTAAATTGAAATGGAAGTAATTATTCTGTATGAAAAGGAAAATTGATTCTTTGCTCTTCAGATTGATACATAGCTATAAATGGCTTCTAGGATCGAACTAAGTATAAGAGCCTTGTTAAAGATTATATTGGTAATAGTATGAAGAGTATTGTTCTGTGCGTAATTTTTTTTTATATCAAAAAAGTTTGGACTGAATAAAAGACTTTATTGTTGTGTCAATTTATATATTCATTTTTTCTCTTAAAAGAAAATAAAAATGTAAAAAAAAAACATTACATAAATATAAATAAAATTAGAAGATATATACATATAACAACACAACCAACACATTATACATATTAGAAACAGTTTATTAACAACAAAAGGATATACAAATATGTTTACAAAGTAGTAGTCACAATTCATCCAATAATAATGGAAACCTCTGACCATTTTCTGGAAATTGATCTGCAGTGTCACATTTTCCTCTACTCCAGCATTACTAATAGAGGAATATTGATTAAAGTTGGCTGTGAGTTGTCCCCATCCACCGTCACCATGTATATATTGTGGAGTCCATTCCTGAGCTGTCCTGGCATCCTGTGGCAACTCTGAGCAAGTGTCCAGGTTAACACACTCTCTAATGATGTTGTCATCAGCCATCACAGCAAAAGCTTGTGAGAGAACGTCAGCCTCATGCTTGCCTGAGAGGGACGGGACTCCTTCTAGGATAGTACTATTTTCGTAGGTGTCCGGTGAATTTGATTGTTCGAGAATTTCGTTGACTGGGTGTGACGTCTTGTGAGCCTGCGGATGCACTTCTCTGAAGCTTGTGCTTGGGACTGCTTCGTTGATGGGCACAATATTTCCTGAGACCTGTGCTATTAATGGCCAACTGATGTGCTTGTCACATTTTGGGAACCAATCCAGCCACAGTAGTTATATCACTGATGCTGTTGTCTGATATCAGGTGAGTGACCTCAGCCATGTCACTCAGAGTAGTGTTGGGGACAAAGTTGCTGAGGGCCTCTGCAGCATTTGGGTCCTGAGAGTCATTTGTACAGTTCTCGACTGGTTCGTACTCCATGTAGTCATTTGCTTTCTTGAGAACAGTGTACTCTGTGCAATTTATGTTTGATGATTCGTCCTGAGCCATCTGACTGCAAAAATGAGTTTTCTGCTCCCGTCTACTTGTGAAGCTGTCTCCTGGTAGTGGAAATAAATAAAGAATACGTTGTACTTTATTCTTTATTTAAAACGTAATGGAAACCATCAATCAAAATTTACTTAATTTCTATATCTGCTTAAAAATACAGCTTTAAAACTGCATTAATCCCAGTGAAAGAAAATTCTGTATCTTTAAATAAAAAAAAATAGAATAGAAACATGTTTAAATAATACTGTAAGTTTACTGGAAAAATAAATTAGGTAAAAATGTAAGTTCTGAGTATAATTAAAATGTAGTAAATAATGTATGGTTTTGGTTTAGCAAATGCAAGCTTTTATGAAGTAAACAGCAGAAGACTGTATTGTCTGAAAAATTCTCAAACTCACAACATAATGCTTAAAGAGCATTAAAGTCATTAATTAAACTGTAGTATATTTAGACAAAGAAGAAGAAGAAGAAAAAGAAAAAAAAACATTCTCAACCCTTTGCAGACAAAATAATTTCACCTAAAAATCCACCTATCCTTTAAAAATAAGTCAATCCATTTATAAAACCCTACCATACCCAAAGGAACCTATCTACCAAAACAACGACAACAAACAACTCCTCTATTCACCTGTTCATTATATCTATCAATCATCGTCAACCTACCACACTTTGGACAAGAGAAGACCCTCTGTGTACTGTGTTGCTGCATGTGTGTGTTCAGGTTTCCTTTCAGGCCAAATCTCTTTCCACAGTGGATGCAGGTATAGTTTCGCTCACCGGTGTGGGTTACCATGTGTCTCTTCAAGCTCTGGCTGTACCTGGGAAGGGGAGATATCATGTGTAAGCAAAACTGGCACAGTAAATAACTTTAGTAATAATAAATTTTAGTAGTAGTAGTAGTAATAATATTATAATGGTAAATAGTAAAAGTAAATAATAGGAGTAAATAACAATAAAATTTTGTCTGTGCATTTGTACTTCATAGTTTTCCTTTCTATTCTTTGGGCAAAAAGTACAAGGTCAAGTAATATGCCAAATATAGACATACTATGTGTGCACATGTGTATGTGTGGATGACCCACAAAGTTTAAATATGTAACAACCATGGATTTATGTACTTGTGTATATAAATGTATTCATGAATATGTGAACCAATGAAAAACTCACCTAAAGCTTCTGCTACATACAGTGCAAGTAAAAGGCAGAATATTCCAATGGATCAGATAATGGCGTTTGAGAACACTCAGGCTTGGGAATCACAGCGAACACTCCTGACATTTATATGGAGGCTTGGAAGCTGTAAAGGAGATGAACAGAGAGAGGGTCAGAAGAGGAAAATATTACAGGTATACCAATAACATAAATTCTATAATACAAAGCTAGAAGGATAAAATAAAACAACATTAAAAAGAAGATACAAACAAAATAATAATAATATGCAGAAGGAAAGAAGAAAAAAAGAAAAAAGAAAGAAAAAAGGAAATGTAGAAAAGGAGAATATCAAAAAAAATATCCACGCAATGCATACACATAAGAAGACGAAGAAGAATGAGAAGAAAAAGAAAAGAAAATGGTGGTGCAGAAGAAGAAAGAAGAGAAAGAAAGTGAGGGAGAAGTAGGAGAAAAAAAAGAAAAAAAGGAGAATAAGAATAAGAATAAGGAGAGAAGAAGGTGAAGAAGAAGAAAGAAGAAGAGAAAAAAGGAGGATGAGGAGATGAAAAGAAGAGGAAGGAGAAGAAGAAGAAGAAAAAAAGAGGAATGAGAATGAGAAGAAGAAGGAAAAGTAAAAAAGAAGAGAAAGGAGAAGAAAAAAGAAAAGAAAGAAGAAGAGAAGAAGAAGAAGAGGGAAAGTAGAAGAAGAAGGAGAAGAAGAAGAGAAGAAGAAGAAGGAGAAGACAGAAGAAGAAGAAGAAGAAAGAAGAAGAAGAAGAAAGAAGAAGAAGAAGAAGAAGAAGAAGAAGAAGAAGAAGAAGAAGAAGAAGAAGAAGAAGAAGAAGAAGAAGAAGAAGAAGAAGAAGAGAAGAAGAAGAAGAAGAAGAAGGAGGAGAGAAGAAGATGAAGGAAAAAAGAAGAAGAAAAAGAAAGAAGAAGAACAAAAGAAAAGAAGAGGAAGGACAGGAAGAAGAAAAAGATAATGGAGAGGGAGAAGAAGAATGAGAAGAAAAAGAAGAAAAGAAGAGGAAGAAGAAGAAAAAGAAGGAAAAAAGGAAGAAGAAGCAGAAAAAGAAGATGATGAAGAAAAAAAGAAGAAGGAAAAGATTAAAAAAGAAGAGAAAGGAGAAGAAAAGGTGGGGAAGGGGAAGGGGAAGGGGAAGGAAGAGGAGAAGAAGGAAAAGAAAAAGAAGAATAATAAGAAAAGAAAAGATGGAGAAGAAAAGGAAGACAAAGAAAAGGAAGATGGAGAAGAAAAGAAAAGGAAGACAAAGAAAAAGAAGAGGAAGGAGGAGAAGAAGAAGGAGAAGAAAAAGAAGTAGAAGAAGAAGGAGAAGAAAAGATGATGGAAAAGAAGAAAAAGAAAAAATTAGGAAGGAGGAGGAGAATGAGGAGAAACAAAGAAGGAAAAAAAAAAAATCCTTACCTTGGTGGGTGACTTCGTGCATCCTAAGTTTCAGAGTTGTAGGGAAAAGAACACCGCAACTTGGGCACTGGAACCCTCTATCTGCCCTGCAAGCACAGCAACAGATAGAATAATAGTGCACATAAAGAAGGGGGGGGATGCACATCAAATCTTTTTGGGGAAAATCCCTCCATAGAGGGTAGGGTAAAGGAAGGTAAGGTAAGGTAAGGTAAGGTAAGATAAGACAAAGTAAGATACGGAAAGGCAAAGAAAGCTAGGATAAGACAAGGAAAATCACCATATTCTACTATTTCTTTCCCCTCACTGTTATTCTTATTGAACCTTCACATTGTAAATATATATGATAATACTCACAACTCCTCCTTTGTCATCATTCTTAGGCGTGGTACTACTTGTGCTTGAACTCGCATGTGCTGCATTAAGTCTGGAAGGTAAAAACACCGATTTAGCTCTGAATTACGTCTTTTATTCTTTTTCAAGTTTACTTTTATATTATCCATCAAATTCAAACATAGGGGGCTGAGATATGGATAACTAAAACATGTAGACACAGTACAAATGAGAAAGAACTGCTCAATCCCTTTATTTCTTTTTCTCTTCTTTTCAATATTACATCTGTGTCAGAACTAACTATTTTCTGATGAAGATATAATACTGAAAACATTTAGGTTACCTCTTGCATTAAGGAATTGTTAAATCTCTTTCAAACCTTTTCTTTATTTGGTAAAAATCATACTGCTTGGTCACTGAAGTAATAATAACAACAATTAGATAAAGCAAAGCAAGACCCTATTCTACAAAGGTTTAAAATCTAAATAATGTACTATAAAAATAGAATTCCCATTCCATAAGTAACAGCTGTATGTACTGTCCCCTTATGAACTTCATAAAAGATGGAGAGCATGTAGCTACTATATACATCATAAGACAAAATATACAGCATATCTTTCCAAGACAAATTTTATAGCAGTCTACTGATCAAAAAGACACAAGTATTACTAAGGTATCCATATTCCCATTAATATTCTGGTATCCAATATTCAATCAGAAAAAGTGAGGAATAAGGAGAAGAAGAAGAAGAAGAAAGAAAGAAAGAAAGAAGGAAAGAAAAAAAAAAAAAAAAAAAAAAAAAGAAGATGAAGAAGAAAAACAGGCAAAAAACACAAACCCTTGCTTTCTCTCATATACTTCTTGTTGCAGTGTATGCATGAATGAGACTTGTGTGAGTTGTCATGCATCTCCATATGCAGCTTTAGGTGTGAGAGTCGTAAAAATTTCTTGTCACAGTGCTTACACTGGTGAGTACCACGTCCAGTATGCAATCTGAAAGTAATGTTGTGAGGATTGATAAACTTACACATATATAAAGTTGCGTATAATCTTATAGTTAAATACTAAAGGAAACGTAAATGTATATGAAAGTTAAATGAACAAAAACAAACTTGTATGGTTAACAACAGAAGTATGAAAAAATCTTCCTAATGTCTGATAATGGAATAACAATTCTTTAAATGTGCCTAACATCAGAGAATCATCTGGGTCAGGGTCACTTGACCATTAAATTCACTGGTAGGGAAAAGAAAAGAAAAAAATCAAATAAAAAAATTAAAAAAAGAAGAAAAAAAAGGGAAAAAAGAAAAAAAGAAAATCCTTTGCCTCTAAGTACAATAAATCATGTCACACATGAAAAATATATTTCAAACTGGGTATCAAATGTACTGAACTACATGTTCAATATTATCTCAAATCTTCTACATACCTCATGTGGTCAACCAAGTATCGCTGTAAACGGAAAGTTTTGTGGCAGACAGAACACTTTGGCTGCCCTGTCTCATTACTGGAAAAAAAAGAAAAAAGAAGAAAAAAAAAAATAATCTTACTTTAATTGGCAGACAGATCTAAAAAGTCTGTTTAAGTTCTATATGTCTATATTTTCCATTTTATCAAAATATCTTTACGTTTTCTAAAAAATAATGAAATAGAACCTTTCTAAACTACACACATCCTCTTTTTACCACTGATAGATAAAGCTACACTTTCTATTCCCTTTGCATTTCTAAATCTTATTTATACTATGCTTACCTGCTTGCATTTCTTATGTGGGATGCAATGTGAGCCACAAGGTTTGATTTCTTGGTGAACTTCTTATCACATTTTGTGCACTCATAATTCTTCACCAGGTTTTGTAGATTTGCATCCTAGTATTTGGAAGAGACCATTGCTGTCAATTCCATCATTACATCAGCATCAACATCATCATCTAACAATTATTCTGTATGTTTAGCTAGATGTACCTATTCTTAATGTGGGAAGGTGTGTCAGTGTGTGAGTATTGTCATATCACAAATAAGAACTATGAATTATATATTGCAAAGAAATAAGTAGTAAAAATGATAATCACAACTATTTGGGAGATAAGTACAGAACTTCTTCCCCCTGCCTACCTGTAAGTGCTGTGGATGGACAACTCCAACATGACTCAAGAGGTTCTTGTGCCTGACGAATGCAGCACTGCAGACTGGGCATCTATGAGATCTCTCATTCTTGGGAGCCATAGTGTCTTTCTCCTCTGCAGTGTCAGAGTCTTCCGACCTGATGTCATCAAGGCATTCATCACTCTCGAAAGTGTCTCTGTTGTCACTGGTGTGTTCTGTTCCTGATGTGGAGCTGTTTTTAATTTCTTTTCCTGAAGGGCAACACTGATTTTTGGTCTCCAGGTGTTTTGTTAGTGAGGCTTTTGTGATGAACGATGCATCACATTTTGAACACTTGTACTTGTATAGGACGTGCTTTTCCTTGTGGTTTTTGTACTGTTCTGCTGACATGCAAAATGTAATACTACATATGCTACAGTACTTTTCTCGTTCTTTGTGGTACGCATGTAAATCTCTGTTGTAATAGACTTTATCACAGTTTGAACACAGCAAACAAGAGGCAGAAACAGTCCTGTGGCAAAAGTATTGGTGTTTGTCAAATAAATCTGCACTAATGCATTCTACCTGACATGATTCACATGTGTAATTAGTTACTTCAAAAATGTGTTCTGCATATAAGTGATCTCTTAAAGCTTCAGCATCCTCAACACCTCTGCCACAATAAACACATGAATTCTTTTCAATCATTACTTTTGGGTGCGTCTTCATGTGATTGGCCAAGCCCTTTGCTGTACTAAACTCATAATGGCACTTTTTACAGGCATGCCACATTAAATCGTTCTCATCTTTCTCAAATGAGGATATATCATTGTTGCCCATTGACAGTTCTCCTTGTTTTCTTTTCTTTGATGCAGATGAAAAAGTTCTCTTATTAGAAACAATCTTCGCTTGGTTATCATCCTGTTCTAAGCAATATGATTCAATACTTTGGACAAAATCTTTCAAATCACACTTCTGAGTGATTGTCTTCTTAATGGTGAGGCTGTCTTCTGAACTGGTTCTCACAGGTTCAGCAACATACTGCAGCAGCTTTGTATCACTTGTGCTTGGCTGATGATGTACTTTTGCATCTCCAGTGGTACTACATTCTATTTGATGTGGTGGAAATGCAGCATTTACTGAGGTAGACGATGTATCCTTCTTCCCTCTTATCGTAAGGACTTTGTCTAAAAACATTGCACTCCCATCCACTGTTTCAGGTTTCCTTCTCGCATATGAAGCTCCACTAAACAAGACGGGTGTAGTTCCTGTTAGAGACAATGGCATTCGATCGTTTTTTTTCACAAGGATTTTACTCTCTCTGGAACGGTGTTGTGGTATTGGCTTGGAAACAGATAGTTCCAAGTTTGTGAAAAGTTCTGTGCATAAAGATATTTCTGATAAGATGGGGGAATCCATAGTTGGATTGATTTTGTTGCTGAAAAGAAGAAAAGAGACGCAATTTAATATCCTGTATCCATATCAATAATACATTTACAGATATTAAGAATTAAAAAAGAAAGAAAGAAAGAAAGAAAAAAAAATACATGTCTATGTGTGTGTGTGTAAATATATATATATATACATATAT